GATTATCCAACTCAATAAACTCTGTGTCTCGACTGATGATCACTTTTCCTGTGGCTCTGTTCAGAAGTCTGTATGCTTTTGTCCCTTGAGCATATCCTACCATAGTGCACTCCATTGCCTTTGTATCCAGCTTAGTTCTCCTCTGTTTTGGTACATGTGCATAAGCCTTGCAGCCAAATACCTTTAAATGCCCCACATCAGGCTTTGTCCCATACCATAATTCATGCGGAGTCTTCTGTCTCGATCTTGTTGGAGTTCTGTTCTAAAGATAAGCGGCTGTCACCACTGCTTCCTCCCAATAACAATTGGGTAGACCCGCATCAATCAGCATCGCCCTTGCTGCCTCAATCAAGGTGCGATTCTTGCGCTCCGCCACTCCATTCTGTTCCGGAGTGTACGGTGCCGTCGTCTGATGCGCTATCCCTTGGCTCTTAAAATAATTGTCCAGCTCGTTAGACATAAAGTCGCCTCCACGATCTGACCTAAAACTCTTCGGTGTTTTATTAAATTGAGTTTTCACATCCTCAACAAAATCTTTAATTATTTGAGCCGCCTATGACTTCTTTTTCAATAAGTATACAAATGTAAATCTGCTGTAATCGTCTATCAACGTCATCATGTATCTCCTACCGCGTGGAGTCTCTGTGTTCATCGGGTCACACAAATCCGTGTGTATAACATTCATTGGCTGCCCTGTTGTTGTTGACGATACTTTTGGGAATGACTTACGTGACAGCTTCCCCTGAATACAGCTCTCGCAGAGCCTTTTTTTTTTTTTTTTTACGGCCTCGGAGTCCCTTTTTCGGGTCCCATTCGGCACTCTATCCAACCCTATGCATGCGGCTGTGGATTCTACACTGTACCATATTCGCACTTCTATAGAACATAGAAGTAGCATGGGGAAACCACAGAAAACCCATGCCGGTACAGGCGGTTCCTCTATTAGCAACCTCCCGCTCGCCGGAGCCTTCCGTTGAAAAATTCGGTTCCACGGGGAATCGAACTCACAACCTTTCGCACACTCGACTTGCGTCTAATCCACTCGGCCACCGACGTCGGTTCGCAGAGCCTCTTAACGCTGCACTCTGTTATCTTTATCCCCGTTGCTGAACCGCTGCTCGCCAACGCTTTAATTGCCACTGGATTCCGATGCCCGAAACGTTTATGCCAAATGTGTATACAATTTCCCGAATGTCCGACGCGGGCACTGTAAGCACGATCTGCCTGTCTTAGTTCGTACATTTGCCCTCTCAAGTCACCTATTACACATTCACTCTTTCCTTTATACACAGTCAACTGTCCTTCACTAACTGTCACTTGAAATCCCTTTTGATCTGGAATTCTCGCCGATATTAAACCACTGTCAAAGGACGGGACGTACGATACATTATTCAGTTCAATCATTTTCTTTTCACCGTTACTAAGCTGGCATTCGATAACACCTGAGCCGGTGCCCAGCACCTCAGACACACGTTGATTTGCTACACGCACTGTTGAACGATAACTTGTGTCCATCTTTGTGAAGAAATTCACATCATTCGTCATGTGCTTAGTGGCACCGGAATCGAAATACCAGGTAGAAGACTTTGTTTTGTTTGTCACCATGAAAGCATAGTCTATCCCACTCGTGTCCTCACTGTCGTTATTATCTTTATGATCAGCTTAGGCTGTGGATGCCTTTTGAATCCCGCCTTTCTTGTTTTGCTTTTGTTTCCAGAATAGATATTTTCCACAAGTTGCCTTCCTGTGACCCTTTTTGTGACAAAAGAAACAACTCAATTTCTCTTGATACGAATTATTTGTCTTTAATGCTACCTCTGAAAATCCCGTACTCGATGAATTATTCCTCCTTTTCCATTCTGCAATAATTTTTCCTTCAACTAAACTCTGAGTAAGATCTATCTCATGTCTAGCCACTAATGCCATCACGAGGGTGCCGTATGAGTTAGGAAGCCTGCTGAGCATTATCGCCACAATATCATCATCCTCAAACTTTTTCCCTAGTGCAGTTACTTGATTCACTAGATTAAATAGGGTCGACAAATGCTCCTCGGCGTTTCCTTCCTCACTCATCCTTAAATCTCAGATCTGCCTTAAAACTGCAACTTTATTTGACAAGGTGGTCTTCTCGTTATGTTCCTTGAGACTATTCCACATTTCCTTCGCCGTTTTCTTATCGGCAATGTGATGCCTTTGGCCCTCCTCAACCAGTTGCTTGATGGTTCCGCATGCCTTTAGATTCCTTTTATTCCATTCCGCCAACAACGCTGGATCCGTGGGTGCATCTCCTGGATCCACTGTCTCCCACGTATTTTCCCTCATCAACAGCGCCTCGACTTGGAATTTCCATACCGGATAGTTTGTGTAATTTAATTTTTCGACTCCGAAAGTGTAACTCGCGCTCCCTTCAGCCATCTTGAACTCTCGAACCGACTTTTATCACACTCAACTTTATATCTTTACCCTTTCGACAAATTCAACTTTTATGGAAAGAACTCTAGCCCCTCCGAAAGACTTATTCCATTTGAACTTGATTGCCTTTGGGTTAATGGCCCATAACCTGTGGTAATTGATGATAACTGGAATAAGGCGAGGTGCCTAAAGTAAAATGAGAACGACACAAAATAAACGTAAATAGCACGTCTGCTCTCTTCAATATATTTTGATCGACTAAATACATTTAATCTCTCGAGGTAAGGTGTCAGCGACACACACACTACGATAGGCATCATCCGTGTATTCGTACGGTTGTCCCCGTTGGTTTCAACACTTTGTTATTAACTTTTTAATTTGTTTATTGATCAACTCATTGCAAATTGAACTTTTTTGCGTCCATTTTCCCCCCCGGAAACTTACACTTGTTTAGAATAAGAAAGGTCTCCTTAACTAAGTCGATAAAATTGATATTTATCGAGTTGCATATATTTTTTTAATTACTCACCTGGCCCACCCTGAAAATTTTGATGTCGTATAACTTCAAAAAAAAAATTTTTTTTTTCATGATCGTCTAAGGCATGCTAGGAAACAATCGGAAACATTCAATTTTTTTCGAAATTCGAAAAAAAAAATCTCCTGATACGATCGAAGTAGCATGGAACGCCCCAGTGGTTACTCCCTAACATTTCAGCCTCTGGGACCAGAATTCAAGGAATTAAATGTTCGGGAAGCCCTTACTCTTCCGTTGGAGGCAGAGCTAGGAAAGAGATGAACACAGGGAAAGAATCCGTTTGTTTCACTCTCACATGCCGAGAGTAATTTTACTGCGCAGTCCCGTCGCGCAGAGGGACACACCAATTTACCCCAACACATTTACGTTGTCGATGTTGGCGGAAGTCAAATTCTCCAACTGAAAGGTTAGGGAACCGAAATGTTAGGAAGTAACCACTATAATGCCTAATGGTGGTTAGGCGGTGTTGGGAGGCGAATTTGGAGAAGAAATTTTCGTAGTTTCCTGCGGCTTAGGTGAGAGAGTGCCCGACTCATATCTGAGATATTCGATTTCGAATCCCGACTGGGCAGTGCGAGATTGTTTCTCTTTAAATTCTAATTCTCTTGGAATTTTTCTTTTTGGATGTTTGGGTGGTTTGCGCTTTTTAAATTTTTCGTCGTCAGGGCTGGTTATATTCAACCTTTATGACGTTTCATCTGATACATTTCTAAACCTTGAGATGATTGACCTTGAAAACGTATGATTCGTGAAACGAATGACCCTGCAAACATTGCCATTCGTGAAAAACTCAGATCCTTAAAACGTTTGACCTTCTAAAATTGAGAATTAAATTTCGGGTTTATCCAGTGGGATAGACATATCTACACGACTCCTTTTGTAAGGAATGTTTCCATGTAAAAATCAATTTGTCATTTTATGCGAAAAACGTTTTTTACATCAACTGCTCCATTTCAAAAAATATTGAATGGATAAATCTACAAGTCAATACAGGAGTGCAGCTGGATGATACTAACTAGTTCTCAACATTTTGAAATTTGACCACATCCTTCACTCATACAATGCAACGTCAAAGCAAATTTCAGACGAAAAAAATGGAAAACCGCCAATATCTTGTAAACTTTGTAGGGACGGGTATATATTTTGAAGGAACTAGATAAGAGAAATCAAGACGAATATTTAGAAAAAAAAATTGAAATCAGATGAACAATTTTTGAGATATTGAACAATAGTTTTATACAAAACATTGAATCTGTTTAAAATTACTCATTCGATTTTGCCCATCTGAAATCCCAGCCTGTAATATGGTAAGGGCTAGAATGCTACAAAATGTTAACTTCCTATTTCAATTCTTTCAAGCGTTATCGTCTTCACATGAATTTTATCACAAAAAGGAAAAATATCAATTATTGGCGGACTCGCAATAGTTAGCTGGGTATATTATGGTCCGATTTGATATAAATTATCATAAGGAATATTTTGACGCCAAAAAAACTTAATTTGATGCAGTAGTTTTTGAGATATTGAGAAAAGAAACTGTACCTGAAAAACTACTGGACCGACTGAGCTGAAATTTCGCCCAGATGTGCTCCCAAACAATATCAATGAGCCAAAATTTCAGATTTTTATCTACCCGGTGGCTTGGCGTATTGGGTAAGTTCGTTGCCTCACATGCGAAAGGTTTCGAGTTCAAATCCCGGCCAGGTAGAATGGTGCGATCTAACCATTTAAAGTCTTGATCATCATCGCAGTATACCCTAACCGGGTCGAACCAATGTAAAATAATGATAAAAAAAAAAAGATTTTTATCTACCACTCAAGTCCTTTTTTTGAAAATTTATGTAAAAATTCTCAGAATTTTGCACGTACATACGGACGTACACACAGACATCTTCTAAAAACATCATACCTCGACGTTTCAGGACATTCTAAATCATTTCCAAGCAAAATTAGAGAATCGAAAAATCGATTGATTATAAAGCTTCCATGCGAAAGGCAAAATCAATGAAAGAAGAAATAATGAATAAGAAATAAGAAGAGATAAGATACTTACAATTCCAACATCATTAACTCGGCACGTGTAATTCTGCTCTTTTAGCGTTTTTACAAGTGTTCGGACAGTTTCTTCACAGTCCGTTTTGACGAAAAACCTCGTCATTCTCTTTACAAGCCTCTGGAAGGTGTTTTGACTTGTTTGAGTATTCTGCACAGGCTGCGTTGACAGGAAGAGATCCTCCAGTGCAGCTGGTTGTGAGAATGAAAACCCCGGACGTTCGTCGAGGTTTATCTGGAAAACCTGATTCTCTGTATCTGGGAATTCAGGTTGGGACAGACCAAGTCTTGTGATAGCTTCTTCGTCGTAACGCAGGCATTTTAACCGACCTCCATCTATGCAGTCTTCAGAGTTATCTGGAACAACGTTATATTAATTTTAACTTCTCGAGTACGATATACAGGGTGACAAATGGGAATCGGTGAAAAGTTTTCCTCTATATTTCCTTCTCCCCTTTGTCACCAGGGATCGGGCTGTTGTAGGTTAAAACTTGGAGCCTGGCAAATTCTGTTGGAACACTCTGGGGTCTAGTTCATATTCTCCAAAATGAGTGAGCTTACTGTCGAAGAAAAAGTGTATCTCATTGAGTGCTATTATTCCCGAGGAAAAAATTACACAATTGTATATAGAGGCTTTCATAGTAAGTTTGGTAGTCACAGAATTGGGAGTGAAACCACTCTCAAACGGTAGGAATTTTTTAGTTCTGTACGATTTTTTTTTTAGTTTTGTTCCCAATTCATTTTTTGAGTCAATGTGTTCTTTTTAACTTCCCGACCCGAAGGGAGGAAGTTATTGTAATGACCCCGAAAATCGAATGCGGAAATTTAAGCATTTCTCCACCTTTGGAACCACTTCTGACCCTTTTCAGGTACCTGTCTGTATGTGTGGATGTGTGTATGTGTGTGCGTACGTCTGTGACAAAAATTTTGTGCCACGATTCCTCCTGAACAAACGATGCGATTTGACTTTTTTTTTTTAATCGCTGTATTTTCATGTGACTTGAACCTGATTAGATTATGGAGACGATCGTCTCAGCGTTTCTCCAGTTTTTTCCAAAAAACATTTGGAAAAAAGTCGAAAATTAGCGTTTTTTTGTAAACGAGACCATTTCTCCGTGCATAACGATGCGATTTCAAGTTTTTTTTGTTAGAAACGATGAATCTTGATATAACGCACAAATCATGGAATACTGGAAGACATTTAATCAGCAGTTCACTAGCTTTTTTCGAAATCGATATACATTCAAGAAACAATTTTACTTTTCTGATAAATTACATCTTTTCTCGATGCGGAATACGGCGATGTGTGTGCATGGGAGAGAGAGAGAGAGAGAGAGAGAGAGAGAGAGAGAGAGAGAGAGAGAGCACGCGCACGGATTTTCTTGTCTTCTATGGGTATTTCCTCGGAGAAATGTGAGAAAAAGATTGAATAAATACATAATAAAAAAATTAATGAAAGAAAAAACAAATGGTCGGGAAGTTATTAGTGCGACCCGTAATGGGTCATATCCAATTCCACCAACCCCTACCGGTCATACCCTAAAGAGGGAGCACGCGAAGCGCGCGACTGGGCCTGATTTTTTGTAGGGTAATTGATAATTTTGTTAACTATGGTACCCTATAGGATCGTCGCCATGATCTTCCGGGTCCATCTTATACAGTAACGACGGAAGAAGTAGTAAACAAGGTGGAAAAACATTTTAAAAATCATCCAACTGATTCAATATGCAAGGCGGCTGCGAAGTTAGAATTACACCGAGAGAACCTACGTTTGATAATTCAACATTTCCTCAAACTTCATCCTTATAAAATCACTTCCCACCAATTGCTTACGCAAGCTGCTGTAGGGAAACGACTTGAATTCAGCAAACCTTTGACGCAAATGCTTGAAAATGCAAAAATCGAAGCTAATCGAATTATTTTCACAGATGAAGCTCATTTCTACCTTAACCCCTCACGTACGGGGCCTTTCTGATACCAAGTCTACCACACGCTCAATACTCTTCGCATCCCATATTTTTTTATGAATGAAAAATTATAAATAAAATATATAATTGAAGCTACAGTATTCACCTTCCCAATGGTATTAGTCCCATTGTATTATCTGCCAGTTTTCGAAATATTCAATTTTGAAAAGAGCCGTGCGTCTCCGCATGGGTCGGTATGACATTCCGAGCCCGTACGTAAGGGGTTAATGGCTACGTGAATAAACAAAATTATCGATTTTGGGGGACTGAAAATCCACATTCATCAGTAGCAAAACCGGTCCACCCTACTAAAGTTACAGTTTGGGAAGCTCTGTCAATCAAACAAATACATGCGGAAATCTTGGAAGGGACCATTACAGGGGAGAGTTACCGAGAGATGTTGGAAATCAAATTTTTCCCATTCGCTAAGAAAAAAGGATTGGTGAAAGACTTCTATTTTATGGAAGATGGTGCAACACCTCATCGAACTAATCATATGTTTGCTGCATTGCACAAAGTATACGGTGATTGCGTCATCGGCTTAGGGTATTGTCGCTTCGCCCGAGCAGGGATTGAATGGCCACCATACTCACCGGATTTGAACCCGTGTGATTTCTTCTTGTGGGGTTATCTGAAAGACTTCTGTCACGCAGACAATCCTCAGAGAAAAGAGGCTCTGATGAGCGCTATCCAGAAGAGTGTTTCCAATATTTCTCAAGCTAAAATTGAAGAAGTCTTCCATAGTTTTCAGAAACGCCTTGACTATTGCGCAAATTCTGATGGAGGACACTTCGAGAGTATTTACCATTAATCATATGCCCTCCAATGTGGTTGATCAATTCTTTCACCGTGTGAATTTTTATTTCAAAAAAATGAAATGCAACTCTAACTAATTGCAAATAAATTTGCAAAGTCTATTGTGTCTACAAACATGATGGTCCTTCCTTTCCTATATTAATCACCAAACCATGATAGTTTAAATTTTACCTACTCCCATTTGTCACCCTGTAGAAAAAGTAATTTTTCACACCCCTGCACGGAAATTTCATACTTTCCTCCCTGGTGAGTGGGAGGAAAGTGAGCACTTTCCGCCCTAGGGTAAAAAGTTACTCCCAAAGGCTTGACTTTCCGCCCTTGATGCACAATATACTATTGTAAACCTTGTGTTATTAATTTATGAAAACCCTCGACATTTTTTTAGCTAAATGAAAGTTTCCAGAAAAATATATTCGTTTTCAAGTCAGTTTGAAAAATATGGTGGGTCTGGAATTTTATCCTGCACTATTGAATAAGCGAAAAAAACTCATCGAACTCGAAATAAGAGAGAGAAAACGTATTGTTCACTCCTTGTGTCATTCAAGGTTACAATCCTTTGTTATCCCTTTACAAAAAATTTTCGCAATGTCTCTTCGACGCCTTAAGGACGGTGGCTCTAATGTCCTGGAGAGCGACATCCGAACCCTCGTCGACACCGCATCTCATTTTCAACCCACTACTCATTTTCCATCCGCCATTCACCTGTCACCAATCACCTACTTTCCACCCGCCACACACTTTCCACCCACCAACCCTTTTCTACCCACCACCCACTTTTCACCCACCACCTACTTCTGGTGACCCTTGGACCCCAACTTTGAGATCCTGCACCCCAGGGGGCACCCAGCGCGCCCACGTCCTCTTCAAAAGATATGCTGCCGAGGGGGGAAGGAGGGATGTGCACGTACAGTTCCTGGAAAAAGGGGGGAGGGAGCGTGGAAACTTTCCCAATAATGGCGACTTACTACTTCCGGGAATTCTGATTTTCAAAAAATACAGAATATTTGAAAATTTTCAAATAAATCAAAATAACGATTATTGCTATCGCGTTCAAAAAATTGAAAAATTAATAAATGAATTAAATTTTGAATAATGGCGGTTAATAAGGCTCAACAATACCGACATTTGAGGGAAAAAAAAAGATTTAATTCCATCGATCCACTGGCGAACAATCGATAAAAAATTTATTTACATACATACGCACCTAAACACATACGCCAAGACTTCTGGAGTCTCAGCCAACTTATCACGCCTAATACCCAACATAGCGAAAGCAGAGAAGATGAGCATTACTGTCGCCGGTGGTCGCGTCGGTGCTCACTAATGTATTGCTATCTGCATTGATGCGCTGCAATTGCAGTTATCACAGCCAAAGGTTACACTAGTCTACCGACTGAGTGCTCTGTGAGTTGCGAGCGCATACCGTACGGTGTCCGAGGACTCAGCTTGCGTCATCGGCGGAATGCTATCTATGGAGGTATTGGCCGAAGAACAAGTCTCTGTAAAAGCAGAAAGAAAGCGGAAACACTGATCGCAGCGAAATTCAGCGCAGAAGAGAGGCGTAATAGTTTGCAGCGATGACAGTAGAAGTGGGACACCTCGCCTAATAGGAGATGGAGTCATCGTTTGATCCACAGGTGGATGTCTGGTTCAACCGCCATCGTGGAGAAGTCACCTACTACTTAACAGAGATGCTTTCGGGACACAGGTGCTTCCGGACGTGTTTATAAATACAAATATGAGGATTCCCTGAAGTGCCCAACCTGCATGGAAGTGGACAAGGATGCGAAGCAGGTACTTTTTATATAGCCCCGCCTCAGCGAGATCCGCCGTACTTGAGAGTCCGTCTTGGGAAGGAATGTATTTCCTGGAAACCTGGCGAAAGTTATGCTGTCGACGGTGGCAGCCTGGGACGCAACGAACAACTTCTCGGCAAACGTCATGGGGAAGCTCAGAGAAGAGGAACGCGAGCACAAAGTACAAGGATAAACGAGGAATCTATTGGAACCTCCTGCCCATACCCAACATCTTAACAGAACTGGAAGACGTACATTAGACGGAAATAACAAGGAAGAGCAAGCAGCTGAGACCTCCCTCGCGAAGTAATACTTAACGGTGGTGCCGCGAGGGGATGAAAGGTCAGTCGAAATAAGCCTGATTGGTTTACTCGATATTGGTCATAGAACCGAGTCGAAGGAGGAATTCGTAAATACGTTCTCTCAACTGACTATAATATATATTGTGACGTAATTTCCTGAGGTTCACGGAATCCTCGATCCACTACGTAGCCCTTCGACGCACGACAACCCTGAAACAACAAATAAGTCGAGCGCCAGGTCGTTATTACCAGAACGACCACTGGAACGAAACGAACAACCAAAGTCAAAATTTCCAGAATAATCCCAAGCATCCAAACGGTCTCCCGCTAACTCAGACCGAAGAACGGCGTGAAGGTCACTGGTGAAGCTTAGATTAAAGTGTGACTAGGTATTGACCAAATAAATGAATTTAACTCAAATTTGGGGGGGGGGGAATCACAATATTTAATCAAGCTTAGATGAGAGGATACAATAA